AGTTTCAAGTTGACAAGCAAGTATTCTTTATTGCGGCGCCGGGAGACACGGGCCATAGCTCCTCCTAACGTGTGGTCCCGTACTGCTGTACAGGCCATCCTTATATGGTCACTGGGCATGTTACATCATTTTCCAAAAAGTTTGCGGCATGCATACAAAAATGTGGTGGTCTTTAAGGGTCGTTTACTTTTCCCAACAATCTTCATAACCAGCTTAATTAACATTACAGACATAGCAATCATCCTGCCCTTCCACTTAAACTGATAACTGCTCCCATCCTGGACATCAGCTAGTCCCAGATACTCCTCAGTTGATATTTACACCAGCTTAATGGGTTTATTAACACCACAAACATAGCAATCATCCTGTCCTTCTACTTATCAGTTAGTTTAACTGTGCCCATCCTGGACATCTGCTAGTCCCAGATACTCCCCATCCCCAGGTCCAGGTTCTATTCTGCTTTTCTTAACATTCTTTGTACTAAGGTCCTAAGGACCTGAAACTATGTCAACTACCTTCAAGCACCACAGTTATTTTCCATTACAAAGCCATCAAACTTAACATTGCTTAAAACTGATTACATTTTGTGCTTTTGTGCCTCCTTGTCTCACAACCTAAGAAAACTTTATTTTAATCCAGAGCACCCTCTTAGCTTGGTGATTAGAACATCTGCTTAAACTGGCAGAGGGGAGGAGGAATGAAAGTGTAGATTCTACTATGGGAATTCATGGTGGGTTTCCAGCTGGATAAATTCTCTACTGAAATCCTGGATGAAATCTTTGTGGTAATGCCACTTCCTCCTCTTGATGTTTAGTGTAACAAACACGGTTTGAAACAACACAGCAAGTGGAGGCATTTCAGATGACCTTCTCCTTAATAGATGGAATGGAGCTAAAGCCTAGATAGCAAGAATTTTTAAGACTTAAGAGCTACTTATGACCATTCTCAGAGTTCTTTCAGTGCCACTGGGCAAATTAAATGGCACAGAGAGGGTCTACACTTGCACATCTAAAACTAAAAGGTGAGCAGTAACTCACTATAATCCTACTACTGCATTCTGCTATTCCTGCTAGGTCACAGGTATATATGCCTTCAGGACAGACCACAAGGTGACAAGTAATTTAGTAAACATACCTCCCTCCTCCTGCCCCTGTCCAGCATGGGCCATTAAGTGTAAATCCAGATAAAGCCAACATATTAAGTGGTAATAGCTGGCTATTCTCAACAGCAAATCTACAAAACAGTTTCATGTAGCATTTGAGTAATGAGGCACCTTCAGCGAAGCACTAGCAGTAGAGCAGTTAATACTAACTGCATGAAAAAAGTAAGGGGCTGATCTCAGGGATTTAGGACATACCAGGAAGGAACCAACTTCCATTGGGAACAAGAATATTAATAAATATTATCTATATGAAAAGTTGCATACTGAAGGCAATGACCTGATGAGAACTTTGTTCAGCTGCTGTGCAGAGCCACTATGTGTTCTCGCAGGGACATCATTGTTCATTCTTCTCTGGAATACACCCTGATTCTCTAAAGGAGTTTATGCCTTCAAAAATCAGATGACAAGCAAAAAAGGGCCTGGGGAAAAATGTTACAGTTTTTTGTGCCCAATTAGCATATTCTTATATAACAATTCTATTAAGTCATTAATTGAGGAATTTTTGTTTCAAGAGCTACTTGAAACACAGCCTCAACTTCTGCCATGCATTTCACCACTGACAATAACTGAAAATTCTAGGGGTGCAGTGATTTTTGTCAAGAGGACCTGGTGGGCTTTTCAGCTCCCAGTGCCTTACTTACTCTCTTATATAAAAAAAAAAAAAAAAATTACAGAATTAGAATCCTGCCACAAGTGTGAACAAATAAAGGACAGAGTAGTTCATTTCTTGTTCTGTTTCAAACTATGCGAGTCCTCCAGTTCAAGTAGATGTCTGCCTTTAATGATTTCATTTTCTTATGACATGTTCAAGCAATATGCTTGAGGGATTATCTCTAGAGAGAAACTGATTTTATAATCATAATACAAATGCCAGTTTATTCTATTTCACCACTCAAGTTCTTCATGCTTATTATGATTACTAAAGCGCCCAGTAATATTTACAAATGCTGTATGACACACCCATGCAGACACACTGCTATTGAACCATACAAGGTGACCTTGCCTAGAGGCAAGAGACTAACAAATTATCGTAATGAGCTTGTAAAGAACACTCTGAGATATCACATCTATTCTCTGTAACTACCTGAGGTTGTTAAGGAGGTGGGTGTCAGTCTCTTCTGCCAAGTAACAATTACTAGGGCAAGAGGAAATGGTCTCAAGTTGTACCTGGGGATGTTTAAATTGGATATCTGGAAAAATTTCCTCACAGAAAGGATTGTCAACCATTGGAACAGGATGTCCAGGAAGTGGTTGAGGCACCATCCCTGGAGGTAAATGATTTAGTGGTATACTTAGTGGCAGTGTTAGGTTAATAGTTGGACTCAATGATCTGAAAGGTCTTTTCCAACCAAAACAATTCTGTTTCTAGGATGAGGTGAATATAGAACAGCAGATGCTCAATCTTTGAACTCTCAGAAGACCTCAAGAAAATTACAAAACTTCTGCCAAAAACTAATGAGGCAGTACCAACTGATAGATGTTTAACAAACACTCCCATCCACTCTTGTTACCCACATCTTCCTCCTTTCTGGTCCTCTACTGTCAGTTTTGTGTTTTCCCATGCAATTTAAAATGCCTGGGCTGCATCAAAAGGATCATGACCAGCAGGTTGAAGGAGGTGATCCTGCCTCTACTCTGCTCTTGTGAGACCTCACCATGAGTATTGGGTGCAGTTCTGGTGTCCTCAACATAAAAAGGACATGGAACTGTTGGAACAAGTCCAGAGAAGGGCCACGAGGATGATCAGGGGACTGGAGCACCTCCCATATGAAGACAGGCTGAGGAAGTTGGGGCTGTTCAGCCTGGAGAAGAAAAGGCTGCATGGAGATCTCACAGCAGCCTTCCAGTATCTGAAGGGGGCCTATAGGAATGCTGGGAAGGGACTATTCATTAGGGACTGTAGTGACAGGACAAGGTGTAACAGGTTAAAACTTAAAACAGGGGAAGTTTAGATTGGATATAAGGAGGAAATTCTTTCCTGTTAGGGTAGTGAGGCACTGGAATAGGTTGCCCAGGGAGGTTGTGAATGCTCCATCCCTGGCAGTGTTCAAGACCAGGTTGGATGAGGCCTTGGGTGTCATGGTTTAGTGTGAGGTGTCCCTGCCCATGGCAGGGGGGTTGGAACTAGATGATCTTAAGGTCCTTTCCAACCGTAACTATTCTATTATTATACGATTCTATGATTCTATGAACACAGAGTTGCAGTTCTAGCTGTCACAACCTAGCACTGTCTCCTTTACTTTTCTGGCATCAAAATAATTTTAATTTCTGTACTTATCACTTGCAAGACACACCCAGTGCTAGCTGGATCACTTTTAAGACTGTCATCCTTACTTCTAAGGCAGTTAGATTGTACTTGCTTCAGCTTATTTTTAGTCTCTTTCCGCTGATATCCCTGCCACTGTAGCTCTGCCAAAAGCACAGACCACACTGTTCCCTTGTACCCTTCCACACTGTGCCACAACCCCTAGGTTTTTAATCCATAGATCACTCTTTATTCAACCTCTTCAAGTCAATATATGCCGTTAAAGAAGACCTATAATCACTAAGACATCTATACACTTAAAAATAAAATGTGTATCAAAAAGCATAAGGCTAATAATCATGACCTTTTTCCCCTTCACTATTTTGCTGTTCCTTTCCCCAAATACACGTGGATAATCTCCAAACATCAGAGGTTGTCCCTGACAGGCCAGTACACAACAAATCGATCAAGCAAATCTATAATTATGAGGCAAAGTTTACTGTTTGTTCTGAAATTGCCATAATAATAGGAGCTTGACCTTCCAAAACATTTTTTTTTTCCCTCGGGTGAATTATTTTTTCTTATTTTGATTATCATCGGAAGCAGGAGAGGTCTTAAGATTCCAAGCATTATTTATCGCTACAAAAACTGAAAGGTACGACTGAAGTTATGTTAGCCTAACATGTAAGGGAAAAAATATCACAAAAAAAGACAAAAGTATTTCTAAAAGGACAGGCTCTTAGTTATCCACATAAAATGTAAAAAGGATGCTTATTTATATTTATACTGAGTAGATCTAACATACTGCTAAAACATTGTATATGTGCATTCAAAACACCTTCATCATCACCTTCATGTATGACTTGCTTTCCTGTTTAGTAGTTACATAAACTCATTTTGAGTTACATCTACATAAATATGACTTTTTAAAAACCTGCAACGTAACTGTAGGAACATAAAATTAAAAACGTGAAAGTTGCATGGTATTTAAATTAGAAATGTAATGACTGTCTTAAGTTCAAAAAAGACACCAAAAATCCAGATTTTTGTAAGGGCCCAAACTGCTTTGGATGAAAAATACAATTAACCTTTACGGGCTTTTGATTAACTCTCGATGCCTTTCAATAAATCAGAAGGATGGTGCAAATAAATGAGGCACATACTTTTCCATATTCCTCCAGAGAACCACCATACAACTTTCACACCCTCTTAAGCTAAGAATTTCTCAGCCAAATGCTGCAGTCCTTTCTCTGATTTCAGTTTTCTATCCACATGACGATCCGACAAACTACTCCTGTACTCCACCCTTCCAACACCCGGGTGCTTCATGGAGTTAAAATTAACTTGGTGGTTTGGGTTTGGCTACGAACTGAAGATCCTCCTTTGTGAAACAATTGTGCGTTCATCAGCCTTCAGCGGCGAGCTCGGCTCGCCTCCTAGCACCACCGAGCTGCCACGGCAAAGCCCTCAGAAGAAAAACAAAACCTTGTCTCAGATAATGGCTTTACTGTACGGAGCGGGGGGGGGGGGGGGAATATAAAAAGCGGAATGAAGGGCATTTAATTATTTTCAGCTACTTGAATTTCAAAAAACTCTCACCCATGGCATAGCGCATGCCTAAAATCCCCAAGTCCTTGCGGTTTCCAAGTTGGAGAAAAAAGCCTACGCAAGCTGTGCGCACCGCAAGTTCCGCACCGCTCGCCTAACTACCGCAGGTGTACGGCCGCCTCCCGCGCTGAGACCTGTCCCGCACACCAGCCGTGAAGACCAGGGAGGCTCCCCTCGATCCCGGGAGCAAGCCCCGTTACTCACGCCGACACCCCTCCTTGCTCCCGCCGCCCGGCCCCGGCCCGCCCGCCTCGCCCGTTCACCCGTCGTCTGGGAAGTTTGCTGCCTCGGGCAGCGGCTGAGCCCGGGACAGCGCTGCTGCCGCAGCAATCAACAGGCGCCCGCACCTCCCTGGCCGCTGTCTCTCGCCAACCGCACCGCGGGACTCATCGGTGAACCCGGATGCCCTCGGCCCCGGGAGGGACAGTGAGGAGCCTTCGGACTGTGCCGCGCATGCAGGCTGCCCTCGGGGCCGCGGTACCTGACGAGGTGATGGAGGTCGTCCCGCCGCGCCGGTACACAGCGCCCGCTCCTGCCTCAGCAGCGGAGAAAGTTTCCTGACGTCAGCGCGGCCGGGCTAGGGACCCCGCCTGTCTGCCGGGCTCGCTGCCCGCCAGGCCGGGCTGCCGCTGCTCCCGGGCTCCCCCTGCCTCCTGCCACCGGCCGGCACGGGCGGAACCTGGAGGCGGTACAGCCGTCAGCGCGGGCGCCCAACGGCGGCTGAAGGAGGCGTGCCTCGCGGCGTTCGGCAGGGGGCGCCATCGCGGCCTCGCGAGAGAGGCTCGGGTTAGGGAGCTAGGCTGGGCGCGCCCGAGCCCCGCAGGCCTCCGGCTGGGGTGGCTAGTAGCGAGGGCACCGGGGAAGGGGCGGCACTGGAGTCCGGACAAGGCGAACGCTGGGGAAGGTGCGGCAATGGAGTTCGGACAGGGCGAGCGCCTCCTGTTTCAGCCCGGCGGCGGACTCAGGTTCGTTGAGAGCCCCGTTGGAGAGGAGGGGAGCAGGCCTCTCGGAGCCGTACAAAACTGGCAGGCGTGCACACCTCATCTGTATCGTAGTTTATTTCATTTAAGCTCTTCTTTAAGGAAAGTCTGATGAAGAAATGGGAGGGAAAAAAAGCCGTGAAGAGTAGGCGGTAGCTGAGAAAGTGGGGAATGCAAGTTAGTAGGTCCACATTCCTCAGGAAAACGTATTCTGAGGGTTAATAGGCACTTCCACAGGTCTTTGGTACATCTACAATGAAGAATATAATCATTTTGGTAAGGTGAAGGTAGGTAACATCATCCTGATTTTGACATTTTATCTGTGGTATGGCAGTCCCAGTTGTGTTTTAGAAACACCAGAACAGTGTAAACCAGTATTTTTTTATGACAGTCACAGCACATGTAACAGGGACAACATATTTCCTGTAAATAGGCAAGGAATGAATGTCTGCCATATTTTTTTTTATTCCTGGTAGCCTTCTGCTGTGATATTGCCAGTAAGGAAGCACGAGATAGTGTCGTTGGAAAGGCAGGAAGTTCATCTGACATTCCTCTGCCTCAGTTTTTTCAAAGCACACTGAAAGATGCCTTTCATTTTTTCTTAATCAGTAGACAAACCTCTAGAATAGCCATTTAGAGAGCAGGACAAAACGTCACTGAAATCAAAGCAAAGGTGTTTTGTCTGCAGGGGGTATTTTCCTTTTTTTTTTTTTAAAGGCAAGACAGATGGCAGTTTACAGTTAGGAGTGGAAAGATCGCTATAGGAAAAAACATGAAAGTTAGAAGTCAAGAGCCGGCAGCTTTTAAAATCAGAAATCCTTAGGTAATTACTGCTAATGTTGTCCATCACAAGTTTGTATTGTTGTGTTACATTTAGGCTTTGGTTGCTTATTTTTGATGTTTGTGTGATTGGTTTTTCAAGCAACAAGGCAGTTTGTGTACTGCCTTCTTAGGCAAAAATAAGGTTCATTTCAGTGTCAGGAAGCATCTTTATTTATTTGGCATTTCATAACATACATTCAAAAGTAGTCTGTTGTATGTCAAATACAAGTACTCAGACTTGTTCAGTAAATGTGCTGGTTTGGTTTTATTTTGATTAAAGCTTAGCTGCAGCCTCTGTACTAGAGTGAGTCTCAAAGTTTTGATCTACCTCATAAAAAATATATATATATACTTCTTTTTAAAGTTATGGACTCCCTTATACATGTTTTATCTTTCAGTAGAAAATCCTCAGTACAATTTTACTAAAATAAAAGGTCGGTAGCTTAGTCATAGCAGCAAAGCAGAGCATATGTTACACAAACAGAAAACATTTTGGGTATGGAAATACATGTAATCTTCAGTTTTTCAAAGGTGATTAGGAAAGCAAGTAAAAATTAAGGGCACTTTAAAATTTTTTTACAGTACCGTAGCAAGTTATTCATCAGAGAAAGTTAAAAATAAAATATGATACAGGGGAATTCTTTTAGTTACCGGGTTTTGCAGAAGTCAAGTATATTTGATGAAGTCAGGTTAGATTTTGTCCAAAATCAACTTATACTATTTTAAATGCAATAAAAATATAAGTAGAGAATATATTACTCAGGCAAGGACATTCTTCCTGTTATAAAAACTTCATCTCAGCCATGGTCTAATTCAATTATTTTATTACAGTTGATTAATATCGAGAGGCAATAAGCAAGCAGCGCTGGGTGCGCAAGGGAGTCTCCGCTCCACCAAAGATGCATACCGGGATCTTTGGAGTATAGTCTCTTATACTTCTTGGTCTTGGGTTTCAGCCAGTCTGTCATCTCTTTTACCCAGAGGTCGATGTGGCTCATTTCCATTGTTCTTTTCTTGTTGCTGGGGTCTTTCTCCGGCGAAGACGTTGCTGAACTTCTTGGTAACGTATTAACAGAAAAACGCTTACAAGCTTAGCTGCAGACTTAGCATTTTGTTCTATACCTTATATGGCTATTTGCCTAGTATCCAAGTTTCACAATATCCTGTAACAGGGTGTATCTCCTGGTTATCAAACCCCCTAAAGGCATTCAAGCAGTTAAAAAAAGCTCTTTTTGAACAGTGAAGTGGTTGAGTAAGAGGGATTATTCCTTTGTCTCCTCTTCCCTTTCATCATTGTATTGGCAGGAACATCTGTCATAATAATGATCATTCCTATATTCTCCACGCATGGTACAATGGTCACAAGGACTTCTAAGTTGCTGATACGAATCATCCCTGTATACTCCACATTCCAAAATCCCTTCTGCATGCAAATAATTTTTTCTCTTTAGCAAATGAGACATTTTATAATACGTAAAAAAAAATTTATGCAGTATATAGGAAGCTTCCGATTTCTTCCAAGATGTTTTTGACATAATCTGTATTGCAGTGTTTAAATAAAAAGTTATTTTCAACTTAAAGTTGATGCATATTATTCAAAGGGAATAGAAGATGATGTGATTTCTTTCTTCTACTGCCATTTTCCTCCTTCAACAGTGGCAACCTAGGGTTGCAATGAGAACGTTATTTGAGAAAAAAAATTAGAGCAAAAATACATGAACAAAACCACATGAACAGCATTAGTACCTATTCATCTTAATTGTTAACTCGTGTGATCCAGGAGCAAAAGGCTAGGAACAAAAAGAAGAAAACAGTGACTTCCTCAGTAGTCTTGGTCCCCCAAAACTTAAAGTGGACAAAGTTGGGTCATTACTGGGGCTGTCATTCTTGAGTGTTGCAGAGTTGAACAAAAAGCTAGGCACACAAGAAATTAAGAGTATGCTCAAGAGTGAGCAAAGTCACATTTATAAACACATGCTGGCACCCTGGCTTCTTACATGAATGGATTTGTTTATTATTCTTATGAGCCTGCAAATGACAGTCATGTAAACAGATGGTGGTGACTGAGTGAAGATAATAGAAAATGAGCAAAAGCAATGAAATCAGTATTCATTTAGATCTGGACCTATGCCAAGATCAAAGAATAAATATTAATCACTTGGACTGATTTACCAGAAAACAGTTACTAGAAGGAACTAAGATTAAAGGATTGCACCAATTACAAAACCTGATGAGCTTCACCTCTCTACTGAGCACTGTCTTGCTTCTAAGGTAGACCAAAAGCTACCTAGCATTACTCTGTGAGGCTGTTAAATAACAAACAAAAAGAAAGCGCTATTCAGTCTTTCTAGTGGAGAAACACTGCAGGGAAGCTTTTACTCCTGAAGTCGTATTTAACTTCTAGACCTTTTAATATTATCATGGTGGTACAATGTATGCCCCCATTCAAAACTTTCCTTACACATTGTTAAACAAAAATCACATCCCCACATTGATCTTGGTGATCTTAGGAGGATGTAAAAAAAGCTCTGCATTTCAGTCAAGGGAAGAACATCATTAGCAGTGCCATCGGTTTCTGTGTCAGACATGAGCAGGGTGTCAACAATGCTGAAGTGTGGGTGGCAGTAGAAGTGACTGATTTAGTGTTGGTCATTGTAAACCTGAGCATGAGATTGTTGTAACTAGGGACATATCTAAACAGGATGGCCTTCTATGCAATACCTCATAGAATTTTCATCCCAAAGGGGGTCGGTTTCTGTGTCCCTGAAGCTTTTTGTGGAAGTATGTAACATTAAAAGTGCTGTAGACACCATTGCAAAATATTTCCAAATAGAAAAGCAGTTTTTGTTGCAGAACTGTCGCAGACCTTACTTTTTGTAGTAGCTTACTACTTTTGTAAATCTCACATCTACAAAACCAAGAGAAGGAAAGAGACTTCTGCCATTTCATTCTGAAGTTTTGAGAAAAGGAAGAAGCAATAGAGAGCTTTTATTAAAACCAAAAGGCTAATATGTAGTGTTCTTTGCAGAAAACAAGTACACAAAATGCTCAATATCGTTGGGTTTTTGTGGGTTTTTTGTTGTTCTGAGCCAGTTATCCTTTAAAATGTGGCCAGAATGTCTACCTATGAAATTATCTGAAGTTGCTTCATTACAAAAACCTAGAACAGTAAGACAGCCTAAAACTCAACCACACCGTTTAGCTTAAGACAGAAAGAATAAAAGAAATCATTAATCATCTGCACTATATGTATGGACATCAGTTTTTAAAACTATCTAGGATTTTAAAACAATGCAACAAAAATATACTTGGGGATGCCTAAACCAAAGTAATATTTCAAGTCTGCTCTCATTGAACTCTCAAGTATTTTTCCTGGAGATTTCAGAGAGTAATATTATATTAGAAAACTG